TGTTATAATTTCAAGAATAGGCTTGTTTTTAAATATTTGTATGGCTTATAAATTCATAAAGAGCATTAAAAAATAACCAAAATTAAGTGTTCCTTCACTGGGTGTTCATTCACTGGTAAGAGCTGTTCCTTCACTTGGTCTTCTTACTACTTGTTATTTGAACCTCCAAAACTTTAAAACAATATTATGTAAGTTCTCTACAATTTTTTTTACATAATTTGCAATTAGTAACAAATATGTTGACACTGTCATTTAACTAAAATTACGGATTTTGAAATTAATATGATTTCTTAAAAGGCAAGCGAAGCTTAAGTGTTCCTTCACTGGTTAGTTTACCCTACATTTGAACAATATTTAAATTTTTGACTCATCATTAATGTCACCTGCAAAATACCTTCCACTAAATTAAAAGATTTCTACACCTTAATGTCAGAGCTGTGGTAAGTCGGTAATTGGAATTAAATATTTGTTAATTTCAAGCACTAGATACAAGGTGCGGCAAAAAATAAAAAAAAACTCATACAAAGTTATTGAATCACAGAGTAGAAGTTAACTAATTTCTTTTTAATTTGCGTCATTTCTTTTTGTCCACCAGTTTAATTATAAAATAAACTATATCTCTCAGTTTGCGTATTTTTTTGTGTGACTTTTTTTAGAATATCAAGCAAAAGATTCGTTAATTTAGTTGTTTAGTTGTTGCTTAATGAGTTACCTCGGCAACCTGCACTAAACCCCACTAAAGTTTGGACTATCTAAAGTACTCGCTTCAACGGGAATGAGATAGATTAAAAGAAGAAGACTTGTGGTTTATTAGCACACTAGATTGCCCAAGGAAGTCATTATGACTGCTTTTTAATTTCAATTAGAAAAATAATGATGTATATAATGACACAATTTCTTAGAATCGTGAGACTTTTTTGTACAACATATAATCTTTTTTTATTAATATTTACTAATAACTTGCTATATAATTGTGAATACTATAAAAAATATTAAAAATTAATTTTGAAATTTTTTTTACACAATAGTTATTCTTTCACAATCCAATTTTTTTTACTGCTTCAGGGGAATATAGGTATATATTAAGTTTCAGTCTTTCTATTGTGTTAATGAAAATTTCAAAATGCGTTTGTGCCTCTGAATCGTTGCAAAAGGTGGCTACTTTGAAAGTAATTAAATTCATTAATTAGTGGACGTCTATTTTTATCATTATTTGTTGCATTTGTTAATTTATTTATTTTTAATTAAATTATATTAAAAACTATTTGTCCTATTTTTTGGCGCACCCCGTACTTCTATTTTTTTTAATGCTCATTTGCATCATCAAATGCACTTCATTTAGAATTACATTTTGTATTACAATATAGCAGTTGAATAAATACATTTCTAAATATATATGTTTATACCATATTTGAAATTGTACAGAAACGGAATAGTAGCTAATTACCAATATCTCAGACTCACACATATAAACGTCTTATGTCAAAAATTATTTAGTGAATTTTCATGAACTTGGAAACTATTACATTACGGTATTTTTAAATTCATTTGCATATTTTTCAATAGCTTAATAGCTAAGCTAAATAAGTTTGTTTTGGGAGTTTTTAAAGTAAAAGATAACTTCAATTAATTTTCCGGGTTCTTTTCTAACCCCTTAACTGTCGCATTATTTTGAATAAAACGGTTTTATAAGTGTCTATATTTTTTTATTCAAGAACATCATATAAAAGTGCATGTACAATATATTCATAGTTTTTTTAGTTTTTGGGCTAATTTTTGAGTTTATATTTGATGAGTGCTGATAACTAGACTAAATAAAGCTAACTATCTCTAAACACATTACAAATAATCCGGTACTGCTATCTGGTGTATATATTGAGAAATAAATTCTGGGCTTAAGAAATAAATTGTTTTATTCTTCCTGGTGTTTCACTTTTATAGTTTTTTTAAAAACTCAAGCCAGGGAGCAATATAGGCGTGAGAAAAGAGCGCTAGGGTGACACAGTTGGTTTAGGCATATCTCACACCTCTCGCTGGAGAGCTAGGGGTTTTGAGTTCGATCCTGATGGCCGCGAAAAACGACCGGATTGCATACGCATCAACGTGCACGCTAAATTTGTTGTGGCTGAAAATTTCTCTGAGGAAGTTTGGAGAGAGGGGTACCAGCTCAGTCGCTGTTCACGTCGTCTGGCTCGAGTCAAAATTATGTGGCATTCTTACCACGAGGCCTTTAAAATATAGAGCCCTAAAAATGGGGCTAGGTGCTTGGTCATGGTTGGATAATGATGGGCACGAGAAATAGAAGGGAAAACTTCATCCCGTCATTGTGATAGAGGCGTGAGGGGGTTACTAACTCTGTTCATAGGCTCAAAACTGTTAAAATGCAATTAAGTTTGTGATGTGTCATAATTTGAAAAATTTTCATAACATTTATTAGAGTGATATTTTTGTTTACATAATTATAAATATTTATCTAAATAATTTGTGTAAGATCAAAATTTATTTTTTACCCTCTTTTAATCTACAAGACCTAACTTTTAATTTGTCGGAGTAGCGTAAATTATTTCGATTTCAACTCCGACTCAGCAACCCTTTTAGAAACCACTTTATTTAGTTGGACTAGATCAGTGTTTCCCAAAGTGTGGTACGCGTACCCCCAGGGGTACGTTCTTATGCGAAATATCTTGCAACAAACGAAAATTTCAAAAACTTTAATTTAAAAACAAAGCTAGCCATGAAAATTTACGATTACGTATTTTTCTATTAGCTATTTTTTGCAGAGTTAACAGTTAATAATTAGTGGTGTCAACAGCCAATTGTGATTTTTAACTTTTGAACAATTTTTTTATAGTAAAAAAATACATTCATTTTTTATTAGTGGTACACAGCGTTACGAAAAATTTAGAAAGGATACGCATAAGTTTGGGAAACACTAGACTAGATTAATGACTTGTTAAGTGTGAAAAGATTGACTTATGTCTTGTAAATTTTACATAGTCCCAAAATTTTTTTTTTTCAATTGAAAGACTATCTTGTGTAATTAATGTAATCATTATGACACCATAGCAATGGTGTTTGAATTCTAGCAGTAACCTTCGAAAGATATACTAAAATAGATTTAGTATACAGCGAATATATGAAAACAATAATGATTGCAAATGTTAATTACAAATTAATAATGATAATAATTGCAGTAAAAGTGTTTTAATTTACCTTTGTCTTCTGTTTCAGTAGGAATAGATTCAGTTGTTGTTGTAACTGTTGTTGGAGACGTAGTTGGCTCTAGAAAAAAATATTCATTATTTCCCATGCTTAATGAATGATAATTTGTATAATTGATACGAACTTTTTATGCTGGTTGTTTAATTTGGTATGCACCTAATACGTATCAATTCAAATCGTTTAAATAAGCAAATTAAGTACTTCAAGACCAAAGTACTAAAGCAATGCAATACAGAACACATGATACATAAAAAAGACACAATATGCAATATTCTGTAATAAAAGGTAGGTAAACTATTTGATTTGCGCTCTTATCTCTGAGTAAGTTATTTATTAGCGAAAATAACGTGTACTGCAAGAGTTTTTTATTGTCTAGTGTGTGATATTCATTTTTAGTTTTTATTTTGCTGCACATTATACTAAAATACGCTACAAATTTGTAAAATACGAATAAATAATTAAATTTTTTTTTTAAAAAAAAGATGGTTATTTATTTTTTCATACTAATTTACGAGAAGATGATGTCGTTATAAAAGCAATATATTCCTTTATTTCTTATAACTTACTTTTTAATCAATAGAAAAACGGCGGATATCATATCTGAGTTAGAAATAATTATTTTCCATTTGTGTTAAATCAAATAAATGTAACACAACACTTCTACGCGAATCAATGTTAGCAAAGTATTCGCGCAACAACCTGTTAGGGGACAGGGGAAAGGAAGATTAAGGTTCCGCAGTTTCACCAACGGTATAATTGTAGCATTGTAGTCATCACTGCATAGCGATCACCTTACTTCCTAGAAAAGCTATCACCGGGGTATGAACTTCTGTCCCTCACAATGACTCTTAGTGCTTTAGCCACTGTTCCATCTCTGCTCCCGCAAATCATTATTTGAGTATATAAAATAATATATTGCATTTGGACATGGAAAAGCAAACGTTTGAAAATAATTTTGGAATTGCGAACCGGATTAAAATATGACGAATAATAAGTCATAGTTTCTAATTAATAAAGTGAGGGTATCGTTTGACCAAAAAGTTTGGACAGACATTCAACTTTGTAATTTTGAATAATAAATAGAAATTAATAATAAATCGAAGTAATTAAAATGGCATTTGTAAAATAAACCACTAAAAAACATTTTACCTGGACGTATTTTTTTTATATCTCAGGAGTGATAAGATAAGAACTGTCTTTTTTACTTTTGGAACCACCGAAATTTAAAAAATCTTTATTTCTTTACAATCAAAATTTTTTTCTATATTCAAGTTGACCACAGCTAAACCTTTCGTCTTAGATATTCTAATCCGAGACTACAACTGTTAGATTGAGTCTCGACAAAATTAAAGTTTTTATTCAGCAAAAGTTTAAAGAAGTTCAGACTTAAATTAGTATGCAGTGATTTTAATATGATGGCGATTAAAAAATGCCGCCAAGCTCTTATGAAGATGTTATAGGGGGGTCAACAATCTTTTCATATTAACCGAAGTAGAATAATATGAATTCTTTCATATTAACCGAAGTAGAATAATATGAATCCTTTCATATTAACAGAAGTAAAATACCGTCACATAAAACATTCAGCATGGTATCCAAATAAAGAGGCCTTTTTTATTTTAGCAACTGGAACTTCAATACTAATAATTAAAGTGCTAGTAAGTAAAGGTAAAGCTCGCTAATAAATTTTTTCAGAGTCAACTCGTCGATCGACACTACTCAACTCATCGTTATGGCTCATCTTGAGTTCAGTTGGTTACGTCACCTATTGCAATCATAACCCCGATTGCTACCTTAGTTCGAGAAAAAAATGCATTTATTTCTCTTTTTCAATGAAGAAAAGTGATTAGTTTGCAAATAAGAACGCAATGAAGAGTTTTTGTTTCAGTAAGTGTAATATGTGCTTCGTCCTAAATGGGATAAAACTAAATGGGTATTGTATGTTCGCATTAAAGGATTTATTTAAAATTGTTGCTCAAGTTAGCGTGACAGGGAAGCTTTTTTGTTGTTGTCTTAAACGAAAATTCGTGTTAAACGATTTTATTTGATTGTAAAATAAAAATTTCATATGTTTCAAAACAGTCTATTGTATTTAAAACAGAGGAGTTTTATATGCCACTTTTTTATTACTGTCGTTGAACAGCCAACTGAATTTTCAGTTTACGACTACTAATGTTTAACTCCGAATCCTTGCAAGTTTGAACCCAATCCAGAAAACAAGGGAACTCCTCGATCAAGTATTAAGAGAAATTTGACTTTTTTTGATGCAACTAATCTGCAATTGCGTTACGTGGAGAGGGAAATCACGAGAAAAAACCTCCCACGGTTAGCCTGACGGCAAAGGGACTCTAACCCATGATCCGTCTACTACTGAGGATATTTCATGTCAGCGCTGCGGTCGGTGCGAGGTGGGTGCGGAATTCGAATCAACCTGCCATCGCCAGGATTCGAACCCGGTTCACCTCATTGGAAGGCGAGTGCCCTGAGCCTCCACAGCTCTATATGCCACTTATATAAGATTTCAGGATCTTTTAAAGAACAGCGGAAACATAATAGCAGCTCAAATAAACAGCGTGAAAAGTTATAAATTTTACACTTGCAGGAGACTTTAGCACGCAACTGTATGTAAAGAAAATAATTTTTTGTTTTTACTTTTAAACTTACCAATTATCTCTGTTGGAATAGTTTCTGTTGTAATTTGTTCATTTGATAAATTAGTAAATTAGTAACTGGATACATTTACAAAACTGATAAATCAATAGTGTTTTAATAAATTATAATGAAAAGAGTATTATTCAACGCTATTATCGATAAAGTGTTTTTTTTGAGATTTTCCTTTTTTTTTTTTTTCAAATTGGAATTACATTTTTATATGTTGAATAAAAAATTAAATGATTACAAAAGAAAAAAAACTTACTTTTACTGAATTTTAAAAATAGTTTTTCTGCAATAAAATTGAACATTTATAAGACTACTGCTATTCAATTATTTTTTTTATTAATTTCAAACCATTAAACATTGTATAACACATATTTGTACAAGCTACTTGCTGTAAAATTCATGCATTAATATTTTTTAATGTTTGATATGATGTATTTCATAAAATTTGAGCATTACTTACTAAAAATTTGGAAAAGTTTTTCATATTTATACAAATTTAAACAAAAATGTAGGCAGGTGAATTACAATTTTATTGATTAGCCATAGGTAAATAGCATGATGCCTAGGCATAGTGGGAAATCTTATTTTAAATCTAGTTACTAAAATGAAAAAAAAAATATTTGTATCAATGAGGAATTGATTATAGAAATTTACAAGTGTGATTCATGGTGGCTCAGGGAATGGAGTATTTGCTTTACTTTCCATCGAATCCCAGCGATGACTGGTTGATACGATTTCCGCACCCAGTTCACACTGACCACAGAGCTGACGTAAATTATCAGTGGTAGACGGATCTTGGGTTAGAATCCCCTTTCCGTCAGGCTACCCGTGGAGTTTCTTCGTTATTTTCCTCTCCACGTAAAGCAAATGCGGGTTAGTTCCAACAAAAAGTCCTCCACGAAGGCAAATTTCTCCAAATACCTGATCCAGGAGTTCTCTTGTCTTCTGGATTGGGTTCAAAATTACAAGGCTACAGAGTTGAACATTAGTAGTCGAAAATCCAAAATATTGGGTCGGCTGTTCAACGACTGTTATAGAAAAATTACATGTGTATTTAAAATTTAAAAAAATATTTTTACCAGTTGGTTTTTCTCTGTCGCCACAGTTAACATCTTTTTCATCGTAACATTTTTTCCTATAAGAGTCGAAATATTTTCCTTTCTTGCATTTACGCAAAGATGGTTTATAATCGTGGCAGTTGTAATACAAGTTACAATATTCTTCATGAGCCCATCTACCGTGATTGTAGCAGTTGTAGTCTGGAACATCCGGCTCAACAATTTCGTCATCAGGGTCATCAGGAAACACTGCAAAGAGTTTAAGAAAAATTAGTTTGTAAATACTTAACAAAATGCATTTGGTTATGCCAGTGGAATGCTATGAGATATAAACTCAAAAATTAACAATGTTTTAATTTTCAGAAAAAAAATGTTGTTCAAAGATCCGTCTTTAATTAAAAAGGAAAAAAAAACACGTTATTCAAAATGTTTTAACTTAAGATCCATCTTACCGATTGCCTTTAAATTTTGGGTTAATAAATAAGAGGATTGTAAAAATTTGTATACTTTATAATTCAAAATTGTTTCAATGATTATTAAATTAAATAGTAAAAATAAATTAAGTAATCAAAAATGAATTTTTGCATGGGATTATTACGAGTTTCATAATTGTGCTTAAGAAAAATCTTGATTTAGTTAAGGTTTCTTGCCTAGAGGTCTGACTTGAGTCTCATTTTTAGCATTTTCAGTGAAATAGAAGGATAAGTTGTATAATTATTTTATGGTTTTCTTTCTTTCGGATAGATTTTAAATACTTTCTAGCCAGAAATAATTATAAATTAACATGTGATAAATGATGGAATGATGGCAATGCACGCCAGGAACCGATGGACTGGTGCAGCTTGATCTTCATTCTGTATAGTCTGAAACAGATGAGATTAAAAATTCACAAATAACGATTATGTAATTGCAGGGTTGCCGCAGTAAAAAATGAACAAAAATAGTTGCTTTTAGTAGCCTCAATGAAAATAGTTGCCTGAACAGGAACAAAATTTCTCAAAAATAGTAGCCAAATAACTTAAATTATAGATTAATTGTCAAATACTGTGCTCCAATTTAAAAAAAGTTTTGTGCAAACATAAAAGGTATACATATTAGAAAATAGGTACCTAAATAAAAGTCGAATTACAATAAAATATGAATGTTAATAGAAGGAAAAAACAATTAAAAATAACAAATCTGCCCCTCAGAGAGAAAATATAACAAGTACTTTATAAAATCTAATGAAAATTTAAATATTTGGCTTTTTGGACATAAATGATTGTATAAAAGTTTGCTTTCTTTTATTAACGTTCTGAAAAGTATCGTTCATTTTTGCGAAAAAACTTCGCTAAGAGTAGAAAAGTGTCCCAATAGTCGCCTATTCCTGAAAATAGTTGCTTTTTTAGCCTTTTCAGGCAAAAAAAGTCGCCATAGTCACCTAAGGCCGAAAATAGTAGCATTTTAGTAGTCTGTGGCAACCCTGTAGTTGCTTAGCTATGGTTTGAAACAAAAAAAAATCTGCAAAAATGTTATTTTTTTTTTAGAAAATGGCAGTGATTTTTCAAAAAAGAAACTAGCACGAATAAATTTTTTTGACATTTAAACGTAGAAAAATGTCATCGAAATTTCGGAGAATGCTTAACTTTCGTTGATTCCAACCAAAGTCACATCAATTTCCAAAGTGATGTAAATCTATCGAGTAGTTTTTCTGCTATCCCAACGCCCAACACAAAAAAACAGGCTTTTTGAGAAATTGTGTGCAAAGTATTTTTTTGACGTTTCCTCCCGGTTTTAGGGTATTTATCATCAAAAGGTGATACACCACACAGCATTTCTTCTTCCTCGAACTGATGCATTTCGTCGACGTGCTCTGCTTTCTCTTGGGCAGCAGATCTGGCTTTTTTGATGCAAATCTGGCTTCGAGCGTACGAGGTGATTTCCGTTGCACCTTTTGTAAACTCCAAACGTTCTGTTGCCAATTCGAATATCCACGACGCCCACTATGCTGCTTACCTGCATGAAACCGTCGTTGAGCATTACCGTGGCCAAATAATTAGCAATTTCGTTTGTTTCGTTTTAACGAAAACGACCAGATAAGCGAATTTAGCGATTTCTTATTGTTTTAGGGTTCACGCCGACTCATCCATCCAGTAAATTGTCATTTGACAGGTATTCGAATATATGTCAGATAGCTTCCTACATTGATTGCCTCATGCTCTGTCGGTGAGTCCTCGACGATGCGGAACGACAATTCTGATGATCGCTTTTTTCAACGATATCATACACTTTCCGGGCAAAACGCTCACATATACCCCATAGTATCAGATATCGAAAAATACAATAAAAAATCAGTTTTTTGAAATTTCTGAAACAGAAAACCCCTAAGAAGTTACCGAGATGGTGAAATGCGAGATCATATCTTACAAAGAGGCCATATTTCTGGGATTGCGAATTTCCAGAGTTTTTTCAAGTTAATAATTTTTACAAAATTATTACTATTGTGGTGTACTTAGCCGTTTGAGGTTATGTATGTTAACTATTATATCACGCATGCGTAATCGAATCTGAACTTTCTTTCCTCCCACTCGGGATATTACGCTTTAGATTTCTCACCAGATAGTGTTGCGTTATGACGCATCTTCTGTATTCAGAATTTTAAAAATTGTAAATTGTGCTTGTTAAATGAAAGAGTGTTTAATCCTAAGAAACAGCTCAACTATTTAGTTGAATTAACCAAAAGAATATAGAAAATTCCGTTTTTATGCGATCTACTAAGAATACCAGTTGTTCTTTTCCCCCAAATTCCACAATTAGATGCAAGTTTTGTAACAGAGTTGCCAAGTTTAAAAATTCTGAAACAATGCTTTTAAAATAACCGTGACATGGTGTAGTTGTGATTAAAATTAATTGATGACCCAGCAAAGATTTTATTCGGAATGATCTAATGCGCAGAAGTAAACAATGTTTAATAGTTTTTCAGTCAGCAGCACCATCTGTTGACAAACTTTTCAACTAATTTTAAAGCTTCCTGAAAGTTAATAAGCAGAGGGTAGCAAAATGTGTAACATTCTGTTTCCATTTTTCCTTTGATTGATTTTTCATATTATCGACCATTTTCGGGACAAACGTTTTAGGCAGGCCCGGGAGTGTACATTTAAGTATTTTAAGTACATTAAGTACATTTGAAAATTATCTCATCTTTAGATGTTAGTTTTTGGTATAAAATATAAATTTAAAACTGAATTTATATTAACCAATTAACTCATTTAACTTATCATTGATATTGGGCAAATTTAAAAAAATAACCAATGTAAGACAGTTTGAAATTTAGCACAAATAAAGATAAAGTATTAAAAATAAAAGATGGCCTTACTATCAGGATGCACTCTGCTTCCACACTTGGCATGCTTATCTGGCTCGCATTTCCATTTTTTGTCATCAAAGAGTTGGTTTTTCGGACACTTGTGCTCTTTGTGTTTTCCTTTTTTGCAGTCGTAAAACTTACTGCAATCTCTCTCGTGAGGAAATTTACCCTCCTTTTTAGGACACACGAATGGGGCAAGCGTTGTTATCGTCTCTAAAAATTAAATAAAAATAGTTAGTAGCTTAAATCAATGAATTTTATCTAAAGAATAAAATATCAAAATATTTCGAATACTTATCGAGAGAAAATTTTATTTACCTGTTGATATTTCAGGCTCTAATTCTGAAAATAGACAAAAGTTTTGTTAAGAAATATTTTGTTTATTTCTTTGACAGTTAATGAAAGTAGGCACACTGATATTTATTTGTACATTTTATTTTATTTTCAGTTCATGTTTGTAGTTTTTATCAATTAGTGACCATTTTTTTAGAAGTTTTTATTACATGTGTCTGGGGAGCCAGTTCCATGTTTAGAGCCTTTCACTCTCTTCTCTCTGCTCAGTTATATTCGAATAAATTACGATTTTCCCCTTCCTTAATACTTTTCGAATTTAGAATGTCTAAAATTTTTTTTTTAAATTTCCAAGACTTTAAGAACCATGTTTAAGGCAGTTTTAATTTCCATACAGTTTTCAAACTTAAACATTTTTAATCAATTTGAAAATCAAGGCAGACACCAGCGTACTTCCTACCTCTATGACTAACTACACGCTAACAAAGAAAGTATGTGCTATTGATAAAGAGATTTGTCTTATGTTGCTATTCATCTATGTGCCCTATGCAGCCTATCTCGATTACCAACTTTATACCAATTTATTTTTTAACAAATGTGTACTTAAATTTATTATTTTGTGAAAAAAAAATTGAAACCTAAATTATATCCTTATTAACTTGCATATCTCGTTTTAAAAAATAATTTTATTTGGCATAAAATACAATATATTGTAATATTAATTGTTGTGCACGATATGCCTACCTTTACACATTTCATTAACGTAGAAATGCTGAGTAGGGGAGAGTGTTGTACTTTTGGATCACATTTATTTCGATCATCGAAAGGGTGAAATTCTGCATTTAGTATAAGTTGTTGATAACTGTAATAGCAAGTTCCATCTGTTGTGTTAGGAGCCAATATAAGTTTTTCAGTCAAGTGTTTAATAACTTTTTTGTTTGATTTTATAGTTGCTGCGTAACTTTTTCAATCAATTTGATTGGAAAATAAAATCCTATAGAACTTAGCCTTAATAATGATAAATACCAAAATTCCATTCTCTATGAGATAAAATACCAACTTTTTCTTTTTGTTAGGTTTACCAAAAAAAAGTGCATACTTGTATCTTGGACCAGTGTCAATGTTGTACTTTGGACCGGTCTAAGGTAAATGCTACATGTGCGTCCGAACAGAAATATATTTCTCTGTAGACTTTCCTCTTAACAAAATATCCAAACATTTTTGCGTCACGAATTTTTATGTAGAGTTTCAGAAATTTCATTAAAAATAAGTTTCAATTTTATGAATATTTAATTTCAACCAACTAACAAGTAAAAGATAACCACTCTGGGGCCTGGATAACCTGACTGATAGGACGTTGGTCTCGTGTTCGGGAAACGGGAGATCCCACCGACCAAAGAAACCTCATGTATTAAATTGTCTATAAACTGTTATGGTCTTAACAACCTTTGATTGTCAGAATTCATAACTATGTAAGAGATTTTACCTCCAACCAAGCCTTACATTCGAGCTAATGTTTTGTAAGTATTAATTTAATTTGAAAGAAAGTTAATTTTTCACGTAGGCAATACTTTTTTTAGAAACATTTTTCTTTTTCTTTAAAGTATTGTGCTCCTTTTTCCATGTTTATGTTAAAACCAAACTATAAAAAATGCGTTTTTTAAGTTAGCTTAAAATTTTTTACAACTGGCTAATGTAACCATTTACAACTAGCAAGATTTCAAAACCTCAAAAAAAGTAATTTAACTGGATATTGGAGCTAGGCTTTTCGTTAGGTAATGGACATATGACTTAGGTAGTGGTTGAGAACCGTGGAATTCAATTTAATTTGTGTATCTGCTTGTTTCATCAATGTTAACACTCGATTGTAATAGATAGGGAATACTAGACTTTTTTGTGTTAAGCAGTTTTTTGGTTCTGCCATTTATGCGTGAATGAGAGTATCGTATTCTTATAGTCCATGGTAACAAATTGGGAAGTGCAGGATATTGGAAACCTTTTCTGAGTTGAAGAAAATGGAGGAGATTTTGTGGTGTCAACGCTGTGACTCGAATCCCCGATATAGATTAGCCCTCTCGTCATTAATATGTACCCAGCTACAAGGAAAGTTAGGTGGGCCTAATTAAAGCGAAAAACGTTTTGTTTAACAGTTTTAGGTTAACGGTGTTAATGAACGGTTCTCTCCCAGTTAACAGTTTGAATATCATCTTATTTATTCTTATTTGACTGTTTTATTTGAATATGGTAAAATAACAGTCAAATAAGTTGCTATTTAACCTTTTTTTCCGAGAAAATTCTAACAGTTAGAAAAGCGTGAATATTTAGTTTCTGCCGAGTTTTCGCTGTTTATTTCCTCGATTCTGTGGGATTGATAAAGTGCTCTGAAGATCAGATTCACCTGACTATTTTATACTAAACATTATACGTGATTATTTTCTATTATACGTCACAACATTTTCTTAAAATGTGATGGTTCTACGTCATAAAAGAATTTTCTTAAGTCTAAATTTGTCTTTAGAACTTTGTTGCAGTAAATTTCACACTCCTGGCATACAAAATGTCACTCTTCTGGCGTTTTTCAAGCCAGAAGATGGACTTCACAGCCGAAATCGTTAAAGTGAGTTCTCTTTATATTTCTCTTATAAACTGTCTTTTTTGTAAGTATGAATTTTTCCAGATTTTTTAAAGCATTTTAAGTTTCAAGAATTTGTGATTCCAAAATATCAAGGTTTTAGAGAATCTCCGTTACGCTTTTGCTATCCTAATTCATGCCCATTTGGGGCTTCTGACAATTGCGTTTTTTGGGAAGTCCTTAATTTAAGCAAAGAGTATGCATTATTCTTTTATATATTACTGAATTACTTTTAAATAAATTGCTTTCATAAAGTTTAACGTTTATGATTTTCAAATAAATTAAAACAAAATATAAAATGTAAAATCATTTTACCAGTGGTGGTCTTCACTTCTCGATCTGAAAAATACATAAATATGTTTACAGATATTATGCGTACTTTAAAATTTTAAACAACTACTAGTTTTTAGTCACATAAAAGATTGCCAATACTATGTGCAATATAGGGTGATTCTAACAGAAGTATACAGTTTCAATGCACTAACAATCAAGAACAATGCATGATATTATATGTTATCTGCAACAGAATTGTATGAAATTAAAATCTTGTTTGAGACAGTTACAGTTGTTGTATGTGTGACCACTTAACAGCACGACACACATCGAGCAGGTAATCCATTTTCGCCCCTAACGTATGTTGAGATATATGAATTAAGTCCATCAATAGTGATCAATTACGTTTAGTTTTCACCAAATGATGCTACATTTCACGTCAATGGGACGGTAAACAAGCAAAATGCTCGCTTTTGGAGAACAGAGAATCTCAAATTGCGAGATTTGTCCAAGGTAAATGTGTTCTGTGCGCAGTGTCCAGAAAGAAAGTGTTCAGCTCTTTCTTTTTTCCAAGACCAAACTGTCAAGGAAGCCACTTTTTTTTATTATCTTAACTCTTTGGTTGATGCCAGAGTTGCAAGATTTTTATTTTATAATCATCGTTGAACAGCTGATCCAATTTTTCGGGTTTACGACTGCTAAGTTCAACTCTGTAGCCATGTAATTTTTAACCCAATCCAGAAGACACGTGAACTCCTGGATCAAGTATTGGGAGTAATTTGCTTTCGTGTAGGACTTTTTTTCGGGAACTAACCCTCATTTGCGTTATACGGAGAGGAAAACCACGAAAACCTCCCACGGTTAGCCTGATGGCAAGGGGACTCTGACCCTTGAGCCGTCTACCACTCAGGATATTTTTTAAGTCAGCACTGTGGTTGATGCAAGTCGGACGCGGAATTCATTTCGACCAACCATCGCTGGGATTCGAACCCGGTTCACCTCATTGGTAGGCGAACGCTCTATCACCAGAGCCATCATGGCTCACAGGAAGACATTGGCAACTTCATTCTTCAATTGGAGGGTATGCGTGTGAGTTTACCTTACCTCTCTCATGGATTTGGCGAACCGTGGACTGCAACATGTCTCCCAATTACCACCCATAAGTCCGAACCTAATCTCTAACACCTTGTGATTTCTTCTTGCAGGTTTACTTAAAGGACAAGGTATTTGTCCATCTTCTTCCTGTTTTTCTATAGGAGCTGAAACAGCGTATCACAGCCATTATCAATGTATTTGATACAGTTACATTAACAGTAGTTTGAACCGAAATGGATTACAGACTAGATTTGAGCCGTGTGACATAAGGGATCACGCGTAGAACATCTGCGACTGTCGCTGATAAAACTTAAAATATTCCCATACAATTATGCTGTTGGCAACATATAACATCTTACATTGTTCTTAATTTATTGTGCATTGAAATTGTATACTTCTTTATAAACTACCCTGTATAATCACGTTGTCGCATCACTATCACAATATAGTTGTATTTAGATATATACAATCAGCAAATGCGTGTTTTTCGAATATCACAGCCACAAAAATTTAAAATTATTTTTTGGGAAAAATTAATTTTGAAGATAATTAGTTTATGAATTGTGAAATTTATTTTCTTATAAGATATCGAGCAAATTAATAAGCAGAAATAAAACTAAACAACCAGATTTAGCTACTTTAACAGCTGAATCGAAGAAAGTATGCTGCTACGGAATTTCCGCTTTGGGCAGAGATTAACAGGAAAAAAAAATCGAAAACAATTTATGAAGAAACAAGCTGTTTTTATTTGTGCTTAAATAACTTCTTTTATAATTTATCGCATAAATAAATTATTTTATTTTGCATTTTTAGTGTCAGGTTCATTTTTATTGCATTCTTAAGTCACTTAATTGTCTTTTCTCACAGTAAATTTAACAGTAGAAGGACTGAAACTTAGTATATATGTCCTTAGTGATATTGCCCAAAAGCAGTCAAAATGACTGGATTGTAAAAGAATGAATAATGGGTAAAGAAATTTGTTTATAAAAATATAAAAAATTAATTTTATTCTTTACAGTTATATAACAAGTTATTAGTTAATATAAACAATAAAAATTTATATGTTGTACAAAATTCTAAGAAATTGTGTCATTATATACATCATTGCTTTTCTAATTGAAATTAAAAGCAGTCAAAATGACTTCCTTAGGCAATCTAGTGTTAAATGAAAAAATTTTTTTTGCAAAGAGAAGTTTTAAATGCCTTTTGCAGATAGCAGTTCATGGTGATTAGATTTTGTAAGTGATTAATAATTTGATGTTCTATAAACAAAGAGACAGAACGATGTATAGTAAAAAGGTTTACAAAATAATGGTAATAGATTTATTCTAGTTCTAAGAAAACCAATTTTTTGAGGAATCATGTTGTTCGGTACAAGTTTTCCTATTTCGATATCAACTCAGTGCTTTTGAAAATACATCGCTGTTACGATCTCTTGGAAAAATTTTTAAAAATCATAATATTTGCAAAGAATCTACTTGATTTTTTTTTAAATTTCCAAAATATTTTGGTTCAAATCCTAAAAAATACCGAAAAAAATAAATGGCGCAACTATATACGAAGCTTAAGGCTCCTATACTATCAGAGCTGACCTATCAAGCAATATTGGAGCAAAAAAGTTCACAAGTATTGTGCTTATGTTAGCACAATACTAACATAAAAGATACTAATACAATAATATAAAAATAACTTGGAAAAAATGCGTGACGTCACAGAGTTTTCTTATAGTATTGCTAATAGAAGATCGAGATTTGCAAGCAAGATCTTCACTTCGCTAGCAAACACAAAAGGTAATTAAAGTAAAACAAGTAGAAGGGTCTTTCTTCGATAACATTTCACAATAGTTTTATTACAATTTCAAGGAGAGATGAGAATCAGTTTGTTAAAATTAATACTAATGAAATTTTTCTTTTTTAACTTTTGTCTTTAACACACAAAACCTTTTACACCTAATAAAATTATCGTTACCTTCGGATGGTTTTCTTCCGTCACAAGTCACGTCCTTGGAGTCAATGCATTTCCTTTTATGTGAATCATAGTATTTTCCCCTGCGGCATTTTCGTAGAGAGGATTTTTTATCGTGGCAGTTATAAAACCAATCACAGTATTTGTCATGAGTATACCGACCATAATTTCTCTCGCATTGAAAATCTGGATTTGGATTGATCACTTCATCATTAGTTTCATCAGGATCCACTGAAAACAAATTGTCACTGTTAAAATTATGGCAAATTTATTGGCATGTGTACACTGCGCAAAATAAAAAACTTGAATAATTTTTAATCTAATGATCTTCACGTTTCAGGATTCAATCTTAAATGGTTCAAGGGGGTTACCTCAAATAATTTACTTAATAATTGCACACGATATTTTGATTGGGGGTGGATGAATGAAGAATGAATGGGTCCGCCGTCCGCCCTATAAACGGGTGTGATGTACGGTGTGGCAGAGTTCGAATTCTTGTCCATAGATGGCGCCACTGAAAAGCAAGAACAATCTCATCCCCTCTGTCTAAACAGGCATACGTAAACAACAACACGATATCTAAAGTTACTAAATCATTCACAAAAATGTATTTTCGCCAAATAAACATACCTTTATTGCGACAGATTCAGATTTCTGATCCCTGAAATATAGGGGTAAACGCAATCTGCGAAATATGGTCTCAATAGTTTGGTTAGGAGAGCTGACTCCTCAATGTTAATTTTGCTAAGACTCCTCTACTATCAGAGCTGACCTATCAAGCAATATGGGAGCAAAAAAGTTCACAAGTTAACGTTATGTTAGTATTGTGCTTATGTTAGCTCTTTGAAGCAAAAATAGATGATGAGTCGGCCTGCTTTTCGCGTATTTCGTCATACGAGAATTTTATACGAGAATTGAAAACTTTTTGCACACAATTAAGACATTCGTTTTGCAAAGATAATTTCATGCAAAGTATAACTTAAGAGAGTATTTAGTATTTTATTTAATAAAAATTTAAAAAATTTTGAATTGTAAAATTTTTTTATGTTATTTTGAAGTATGCAACATTAAATGGCAAAATAAAATTTTTTAATGAAATAGGTCGAGTAGTTCTAGAGAAATCGACTTTTAAAATAGTCGTTTTTTAAAAATATTTTATTCCTCCGGAAATATTTGACCGATTTCGCTCAAATTTCATATCAATAAAATTTTGTACCATTTAAAATTACGTTCTTTAAAATGATGTAGATTTTCTTTTTTTTTTTTATATAATTCAAATCTTTTCGACTATTTTTTAATAAAATAATAAAAAATAATGAATGCTTACTAAAAGTTATATTTTGCATGAAATTATCTTTGGATAAACTAATTTTTTAATTGTTTGCGAAATTTTTTTAATTCGCTTAAAAAGTTCTCGAGACAAGGTAAAATACACAAAAAGTAAACCCAACATTAAGGGATCAGAACTTTGAACCGATCTCCTGACCAAATTATTGAGACCATATTTCCTAGATTTAGGCTATCCTCTATATTTTGAGGCTCAGAAATCAAATTCTGTCGAAGAGAAGGAATATTTATTCTGAGAAAGAACGTTTTTGTGTCCAATTCTGCAACTTAAAATTTCGTCTGCACTTATTAATATACTTATTTAAGGGTATCCGTAATATCCATTAAGATTGAGCCCTAAAATCATTACATCAAAAGTTATTCCGCTTATTTTTTTGCGCATTGTGCATGAAAAGTTATAACTTAGAAGAAAAAAAAAATGAGTAAGGATGCATGAAGCTTAATTTCCAACGATTAAGTAATGTGCAAAATTTTACACTTGCTTTGGTTATCTGTTTTTCATTAAAAAATTAAGATATGTGTCTGGAATGAACTTTAACTTTCATTCCAACTCTTTTAATTGCTTCAGCTATAAAATAAATTTCTTATATGTAACAGCGATTAGAATTTCCCTTATGAAATCAATTCTATGAGAAACATGATATTGTGGAGTTGGCGTTAACTTGATACTTATTAAAGTACTTAAAATTGTCTTGGAAAAACTTAGAAAAATTATTATAATGTTTTCAATTCCAGATTATCCTTTGAGATGCAGAAATAAACTGCTTTTGTTCCATTTTACAAGAAGAATTTTTTTTTTAAAAAATAAAACGAGTTACTTATATTGAACCGTAGATGATTGTGGGTAGCGGACTAGTGTTTTAAAATTTTTCCATAATTTGTATTCATCAATGACGGTGATACGAAAACGGGACTTATTTTTTGCAACAACAAATGTTGTTATGGTTCGAAAATAAGATGGAAATGATGTATGTAATTGTATATGTCTCAATTAGGTTACGTGTAGCTTTAGAATGAAAATTAGTTTTCTTTGGGAAATTTCTTTTCATAGTTATTTAAAATTCTTAAGACGCATAATGTTTCAAGTTTAAAATAAAATGGTGCATGCGCAGAATCTCTTCGATTAAGTTTTTCTTTTAGAAGGGTTTGTGGAAACATCAGTAGTACTTTCAGTTTTGAAGTTGCCCTTAGTTAAACCTGATTTTAAGTGCAAAAAGCCGTAGCAGAATGGAAAAAATTGTATTATATCAAAAACGATGTTCTTTATTAAAAAAAAAAAAAAAAACAAATTTCAAAAAAAGAAATTTACGAAAAATATTTATAACTAAACTCCCGTTTAATAAAACGAAATTATCCTATGTACTACAGCGAAGAATGCAGTTCTATATTTGAAGAAAATTGGCAAAGGCTTGTAGAGTTACGAGTTAGATTTACTGCTAACCGGTTATACGTTTTTAAAAGGCTAAACAAATATTCAGAATTCGAGCCTCAGATATTTTTTTTTGGTAGTAGTAGCCAATAAAAATCGTGGGGATAAGTAGTTTGGATAAATTGCTGATTTAGAAAGGATAAGAAAACAAGAACGATTTGGTACTTGTTCTTCAAGAAGAAGAGGATCATAGATACCCACACATGTGACCTATGACGTAAGCTCCAGCTGATCGCTTATAAGCAAAATGGCGTGTTAAAGTTTAACTAAGTGTCTCCACATAAGTTAGAATGTTAATTAACGTGGAGTTTATTAAATGCAGCACCTTATCGCACATCGAATTAATGGAAATGTAATTCTTTCTCCTCTACATGTTTTAGTTAGATTTATTATTTGCTTATGCATTTTATTGTAACAGTGATATATTTATGTTTTGTGTACTTGGCAACTTCGTTGCATAATTATTTTATTTATGTTTTACGTGGCTTCAACCCTGCATTTATGTTAAGTAAGAAATACATACTGAAAGAATTGAAATCCTTGTGAAAGAATCCTTGTGTAAATATAGAATGTGTCACTTTGAAAATCGATATTTGACGGGCTTGGCTTACTCGAAATAGAATAGGAAGAATAGTTGCTAACGTAAACAAATGACACGATTTAACAACCAATCAGGATCGAGATACCCACACTACGTCACTTGAAGGTATCCCATTTTCTTTCTCAAAATTTTAGTGTGGTCTTAACCTTTATGGAAATTGATGATTTTAAAAACCAGTAGGGCAATATAAATAAAAGATCAGAGTAAATAGTTAGAATGAACTTACTGTCTGGATGAATTCGGTTACCACAGGATACTTGCACTTCATTTGCGCAACTCCTCCATTTCTCGTGGTACAACTTTCCCTTTGGGCAATGCACCAGCTTGTGCTTACTTCGTTCACAAGTATAGTAGGCTCCACAGTTCCGGGGATGAGCATACTTACCACTTTTGGTGGGACATACGAATTCACGTGGCTTAGGAGTGGTAACAACATCATCTGAAAAAGAAAGATTTTCTTTGTTTCGGTAGTCTTCATTAGAAAGAATTATTGATGTGCACACAATTATTGACTTAAGTGTAATACAATCAAATGATATTATCCTCACAAGCTTTATGTGGTTAGTGATAAGTAACTGATAGAAGGTAATCACGTCTGCGTTGATAATTAAAAAAACTAAACATCCATATTATGTGTTAGAAAAATGAAGTGAATAGTACTTACTGTGCTGAATAATACTTACTCTTGAAGAGTTTTGATAACATATTAATGCAAGCAATAATATGTTAATGCAAGCTACAAGCTGTTATTAATACAAGCAATAATATGTTTATACGAGTATAATAATTATTAAAACTCCAAGAGAAATCATAATATGATATTTATTAGATTCATGCAATAATCTTCCTTAGATTTATAATACTCATAATTACGTTAAGACTCATGCAATGTCATTTTTGGAAGAAACTTTTGTTTGGATAATTTTTTTTATTTTTAAAAAAATATAAAATTATGTTACGAATATTATTAAAATTTTGAAAATTAACTATTTATTTAAAATTTATTACATCAATGTCAACTATAAAATTTAGCTTTTGTTTGTAACATTTAAGAATCGAATTATAAAAATGTTAAGCAAAAAGGATAGTTTCTTAAAAATTAGTTTATGAAAAAGAATGAAAGATTTAAAAGAAAAAACAAGCAATTATCCAAATAACTTTCTTTTGTTTAACATTTAATGGGATTATTTTCTTCCTAATATATATTTGCCAGTTAATAGTTCTTCATACATTAAAATAGAAACTTAAAATCTGAATAATGAAAATAAATAAAAAATCAATTTATTTTATTCAGCAATTTTTCTAAATTAGTATGCGAAAGATTTTTAATTTAAAAAACTTTTTTCTAAAAGTTAACATTTTTGTTGACTTGAGTGTTTTAAAGTTAAGAGTAAAAAATACATAAAAATATCAAGTTTTGTAAATTTTTATTTCTCTTAATAAAATGCACTTGTTAGCGAATAAAAACAATACTATTTAAAAGGCCAATTTAAATATTGGTTTTGAAATATAATTAATTATACGAATTAGGCAAAACTGGTAATGGAGTTGAAGTCACCAAACATAAAAAGAAAGCAGAATTAATTTTAATATTTCACCAAGGATACTTTAAAAATTAAAATTTTGAAATATTAAACTTTTTTCTTGAATTGTAGTTAATTTAGCCTCGCATAAACTGTGTAAAATGTCAAGGTTGTTTAATATTGGTGTTAATCCAATTTGCTTGCAGAATGAGCCATTCTTAATTTGAAAATTATGCGCGTCCGATACCTTACTATTTCCTGATGCTATTATAATGAACAACCTTCGACAAGGTTTTTACCTTCCTTCGGCTTTCTCTTTCCGCAATCCACTTCCTCATAACATATGTTCCGATCGCTGTCGTAATATTTCCCCCTGCGGCAATTGCGGACCGATGGTTTTCCATCTTTGCAGTGATAGTAGTAGTTGCAGATTTCTTCGTGGGTAAATCGGCCATGTCGTTTGCTGCACTCGTATTTAGGATCAGGATCTACTACATTGTCTCCTTCTTCTTCTTCAGGGTCGTCTGCAAAAAAGATAGAGTTAGCTCTTAAGATTTAATCTATAAGTTAAATTTATAGTCCAAGTGTTAATCGCCTTAATAAACTTATATCTGTTGGTGATTGGGAACAAGCGAATGTATGTCATATTTTGTCTTCTTTGAAATGGCGCGTAAGGACAGGCATTAACATGCATCATGATGCATCGGAATTGCAATAGATGTTTGAAGGGCATTAAGAATAATGTCCATGTTCACGTCATTATAGAAATATTAGATAGGATACAAACACAATATATGCAATGAATAGGATACAATTTATAGGTTAAAATTATAGTCAAAGTGTTAATCGCCTTAATAAACTTATATCTGTTGGTGATTGGGAACAAACGAATGTATGTCATATTCTGTCTTCTTTGAAATGGCGTGTAAGAACAGGTTTTAACATGCGTCATGATGCATCGCAATTACAATAGATGTTTGAAGGGCATTAAGAATAATGTCCATAGCCATGTCATTATAGAAATATTGGATAAGATACAAGCACCAGTATATTTGGAATACTTACAGTGAAGCTCCTTTGTATTCTAATGACGTGATTGGTTATAAAACTTAATTAAACTAAAATTAAGCGACCATGAAATGCATGTTCTTATAGTACTAACACCAGATCCAGATGCTTCTTTCTTTCAATATTGCTTTGCGCCGCGTCTGGAAGTATGGATTTGGGTTTCTGAATAACTGTGCATTCCGTAGCTTTAATCTGACAAGCAATGTATCATCACTCATTATCATTATTGTATGATTGTTAAGGGAAGGGCACAATTTTAAGGGATGTAATCAATTTGTTAAAATGAAAATAAAATTTAAACAACCACGTTATTGAAGCAGAGCATATAAAGAAGAAAATAATCTTATTTTTATCAGTTTCGAAAAATACGAGAGGTATTTTCGGTGATTAGAAAAGTTTTTTCTTGAAGTGGTATACCCTAGAATTTCCGTTTTAAGTCTGACAGAAATAAAATTATCTCTTCCTTTTTAATCTTCTTGAAAAACTTGACTAGATTGAAAGAGGTCACTATTTCGGTTGGTGATTAATTACATTTTTACCATTTAAGACGTTTTACGTCTGCACCGGATATAACTATAAACTCCCCCCCCCCAATAGTACAGATAGCCTGTTAAAATATGAGAACACTAGATGTCGGAAAGTGGACAAAATTTTGATTTCAGGTAAACTCCTAATGTCAGTAATATCTTTGATCTGCGGGGGTGATGATGGGATAGAGTACACGCAGCTCAATGAGATGTTCCAGTTTCGAATCCCAGCGATGGTTGGTCGACAAAAGTCTCCGAGCTCTCACTGACCACATGCTCAATAGTAGACTGATCATGGGATGGAATTCCATTGTTGTTGGGACAAACAGAGGGGTTTATCTCCATATAGCTTAAATGTGAGTAAGTTCCATCGAAAAACTTTCATGGAGGCTGGTTTGTCTCAATGCCTTCATCCAGGAGTTCCTTTTTTCGAATTACTCAAAATTACAAGGGGAAAGAGTTGAACATTGATAGTTATATACCCAGAACATGAACTAACTGTGCAACACCGGTCTTAAAATACAATAAATACTGCCAGAAGCGATCATGAAATGGTTCAAGCTCGCATTGGTATCAGACACCAAATGATATTTGAGCTATAAATTCAATCAAAAAGTGGTTGAATTTTATTGTAAATAAATTTTAATTGCCAATACAATGAGGATAAATTCTGTTTGTAGAGGAGAGGAATGATTGAAAATTGCGTTTTCATCACGTACGGAACTCTAACCAAGATTTGAGCACTTCAGCTAGTCCAAAAGTGGACAAAATTGGGATTGGACACCCCACACACACGGTAGCGACCTCCGTACAATAAATTTCAGTACTGTATATGAGCATTAATGTATTTTGAGTACATAAAATGAAACTTGATTATAAAACCAAAAAACTAAACCTTAGTGATCTTGAAATGTATGTTCTAATTAAATCAATAATCTATTTACTATTTAATGATAAATCAATGGTCTAATTAAACCAAGGATCTAATTAAACTAACCTGTCACAACGTGGAGTATATAGTTACAGTATGCTAAGCTGTCTGTCCCTCCATGTAACTATTCACGGGCTTAAAATAGACATTTGGATCAATTTATCTCATAAATTAACTTAAGTTCATTTTGTACCCATCTCACTATTGCATCACTCTAGCTTTTGGACCCATCTCAAAGATTGATGAAGTCACGCGGTTTAATTTGTCCCATAACAGTGAGTTAGATACAAGGCAATAACTTGTACCTCTCAAATCAAACCGTCAAATTTGTCTCGATCGATTATCTTGGTCAAATTTGTCTCATAAGAGTGTGTTAACAGAATGCTTTCATTTTGTTCCTATCTCAATACGTCAAAACTTGATGATGCCACGTGGTTTGATATTTCTTGCAAGAGTAAATTAGTTATAATGCATTCATTTTTTTTAACCAAATATACGCTTGAAAATAAATTAATTTTAGACAAAATAATTTAAATTAATTTCACGCAAAACAATCAAAGACATATCTTATATGACAATATTGATTTTGTACTGTTTACCTCCTGGAAGTATCCTTTCTCCGCATGTCACATCGTCTTCATCATTGCACGATTTCCAGTCTGTGTCAAAGAGTTCACCTTCATCGCATGTCAAATGCTGAGCTTTACCATGTTTGCACTTGTAGTAAGAACCACAATTCTCTTCGTCTTTAAATATACCTTCCTTAGCTGGGCATATGAACTCTTCATCTAGGAGAATTTAACATGCATAAGATTTATTGGGAAAGAGTTAAAAAAATTCGATTAATGCTTTCCTAAGTGTATATTATTAAATTTTAAGCAGCTTGAATTTTCGCCTCTTTGCTAAAATTGGATTCTCACTTTGAATCAGAATATAAAAATCATTATTTATCTATAGTTCTCTTTTATACTCGATGATATAGAACTTTCGGTAAAAATTCGGTTGCATTTTAAAAATTTACGCAATAAATAAAAAAAACGATTAAGAACTGCTCTTTTTAAGAGGACTAAAAATTTGAAAAAATTTTGTTTTTCACTACGCCATAAGTGTAGAAACGTAGGAAGCATCACTTTCGGAAAACGCGAGGGAGATTTTCGGTGAATTAATCACTTTTTAAAAATTTAATGCTTCCTATGACTTCTGTTTTAAAACAAAATAAGAATTATTTTATTTTTTTAATAATAAAACGAAGTTTTTAAAATTTTTATTTTATTTTATTATTTGATCTCAACTAAAGTTATATAGTACATTGATTAAGACTTTAATAACATTTATTAAAATAGAAAGAAAAATATATAAATAATTTTTGCACGTGATTTATGAATTGTAATATTCAGCCGTGTATACCAGAATCCTGAAAATTTACGCTATACTTTCCTTACGTAAATCATAACTTGAATTATTTTGATACTTTAAAAAAAATTGCTTGCGATAGTTAAATTTATATCGAATTTGAAAATAATTTGAAGATTCAAAAAAGTACCTTCTTCATCAACAATTTCTCGTTCACATACTACTTCTGTCTCTTTTTTGCATGTCTTCAGTTTTGAATCATATAATTTGTCTTGGGGACATTCGTACAACTTAGCATCACCTGATTTACACTCGTAGAACTTGGCGCAGTCTTCATGTGAGAAACGACCCTTATTGGCTGGACAATCGAAATCTGGAAATTCTTCCAACAGTTTTGGTAATTCATCATCTTCGAAATCTGAGAAAATAAATAAAATAGTTAAGAGTTTGAACGAAATTTAATGAATTGTTTAATAGATTGCGAATCGCCAGCGGATACCAGATATTCTGCCTATATGAACCTTTATGTATGTATGTACGAACTCAACGATTCGCGGTTCCACCTTGTCCTAGACCTGCACAAACACGCCGCTTCACGGCTCCGCGTCGGTTCCTGATACCTTTGGTGCCATTGTCCTAAATTCTCGGCATTAATGTAAGAGCTAATAAGCGGGCTAAAACTCTTCCTCGGACTCGTCTGTGGTGCACAGTGGGCCAGCATCCAAGGTTTCGTGGACAAAATTAGTATTTCGATAAAATTTGTTTCAAAATTTGGGGGGTTTTATTTAGGGGTTTTTATGTGCAGGTAAATTGAATTCATAGTTGAAATTTTGAAATACACTCAAAATACCCCAAAAAACAAAATGGCGGCTGAAATATGGCTAGCAAAAATAAAAAAAATAATATAATACTTTTAAATAATTAAATATAGCAATGAAAATATAATTTTCATAATTTTTTATTAAAACGGAAAAGCAAATTATATTTCCGAAGTAATATTACAAAATTACGCGAAAACATGAAGAAAAACATAATTTTTGTTTTTCGGTACATTTAGTCCACCTTTGGAATGCGGGCAAAATGGGGCAGGTTTTTTCGAAAGAAGAAACAACAAAGAAGACAATTAAAAAAAAGTTTAGCTAATTACCTCGTGGAACTTTTTGGAACTAAATTTCGAAAGTCATTCAAACATTGTAAAATGTCAAATGATAAGATATAAACTATAAATTAGTCAAGAGTATTAACTAATCCAACAAACTGAAAAATTGTACTATAATTTCAGACTNCGTGGAACTTTTTGGAACTAAATTTCGAAAGTCATTCAAACATTGTAAAATGTCAAATGATAAGATATAAACTATAATTTAGTCAGGAGTATTAACTAATCCAACAAACTGAAAAACTGTACAATAATTTTAGACTAATTACTCTGATAAAAATGTAACAGTAAGGTGAAATTCCTATATATAATTCGGAAATAAAAATTAAAAATTAAATTTAAGAAAAAATTTTAAACATATTTTTCATTACATCGTACTCTCATCGGTTCAAAAAGTAAATTATAATGTTTGGAATGATTATGAATACTTAATTTGGGCTATATTAAAACTGCCTACACATATTTTAGTTGAAAATTTAATTTTAGACTTTTGGCCAAAGATAATGGTTTTCTGGCTCACAGTGCGGTGGTCAGTCGTTCCGCCTAAGCAAGCTCAACACTTCGCTGCTTTACATAGTTGATAGTTGTTGATAGTAGTATGAACTTACTTCCTTACCGTTTAATGACACATAAGCCGTAATTAGTAATGCTGCCCCAAACACCTCGTGTAAATTCATGGGTGTAAATTTACCATAGTTATGATAGATAGTGTAAATAGTGCAATTAGTGTAGGTAGCCCTTAATTACTCCAATAATTACAAATTATCAAGACCCATATTTTTGTTTAAGTTTTCTTATAATCCCATAAAAAGACATTAGCAAAAATCTTGACATCTACCTTGGTAAAAACGCGTTATTTAGCATTGCTGTCAATTCCCCTAATTACATGCAATTACAAAATATCGAAAAAAAAATTTGTTTAGTTTTTTTTATACATCGCATAAAGAATCTATGGTTTAAATTTTTTAGCTTTCTAACTTCATGTGAATTGGGAGAATAAATGATAAGCGAGTGAAACATTAGCTACTTTTTTAAAATCCAGATTAGTGAGTTGCAAATTAATCTTTTTTATTTTACGGCATTTGCCGTAAAAGTCTTTATATATTTCTCTGTGGCTATATTAGTAATTTTTAAATTTGAAAAAAAGAATTACCGTATGGATCTTTTCTGTCTTCACAATGTACGAACTCCTTTGAACGACATTTTTTGAGATCTATATCGTAAAGAGTATCCTTTGGACAAACGTAGACATCTCCAACGCTGAACCAGCATCGAATAAATTTATTGCAATGTTTTGGGTGAGGGTACACACCAGAACTCTCAGGACAGCTATAGGTATCTTCGCTGGAATCGGGTTCAACCACTTCACTGCTATCATCCTCTGAAAATAAGTAAGGATTAGACAAAGAATATTTACATATTAAAATTTACAGGGCAATTTATATTCAAGGGTACTTTACTACCAAGTGTTTAAAGAAAGTTAAAGATCTGGAAAACTAATTTTCGAAAAATAATGCTAGGTGCTAAAATTTCACAGCTTGCTATGTTCTGTTTTGAAAATCTAAAATTCTTTTTCACCAAGTTAGTTGTAGGTTTAGCAGATGCAGGCGCAAATATTCCAATCGGAATAATCTGACATTAACAGAAAACTAACATTGTTTTTTTAGTCAGCTGCACTATTGGCGAAAAGTGAGTGGAAGAGACTAATCTCCAAGGACCGATCAAAACAAATTCAGGTCCAAGGCCCTCCAAATTTTCCTGGCCCTTTACGAAACATTTCGAAATTAAGTTTCTGAAGAGTAGTCCTAATAATACAAAAGTATCTATTAAACTGCATGATTCAAGAGAAGCATTCTAAAAAATTTTGAAAGCAGTCAATTGAAGATCATTTTTCTAAGATAAAGTTCTCGCATCTATATATTAAAGCAAAATATAAAACAACAAAACAATGTTGTAACAAAATAAAAATAGTTTGGTTACCACAAACAATTGAAAATCAGTGATTGTTGCTAAAAGTCACTGATTAGTAGAATTATTTTTTATTGTAAGCAGTAATTATTTTTTTTTATTTAGTATTTAAACCAACACAAAGCTAGCCGACTTTTCATTAGATTTAACGATAAGTTCAGCATGTATGCTAATATAATAAGGTCATTAATTATAATTTTTATTAAAAAATACACACACAAAATATCCAAAAGAGCCAAAATTATAGCTACTCATAGAAAATTAAAAACACAATAAAATAATAATTTATTTAAATATAACACTTTAAAAAAATTAAAATTCATATTCAGTGCATTCACTTAAGCTGTTGACGTAAAAATTGCACCAATTCAAATTCAGCTGTACTTTCGAATTTGATTAGTGCAATGTTTACACGAGTTTGGTTTATCACAATTTGAAAAAAAAGTGCATTCTTTGAGAAAAACTGTTTCTTTCAGTATCTCAAAAAATAGTAATATTGTGGACTTTTTACTAATTTTTGAGCCCTCCCCCCCTAGAAAGCGCGGACCCTAGGCCTGTGCCTATTGGGCCTAGGCGATAATCAGGCCCTGCTAGTTTCCTAAGCAAACCGTAGAAAACCACACACTTTTATCACATATTTTTAATGATTTTTAAAATGGTTTGACATTTTTGGGACTACTGGTATAAACTCAATAATATAAGAAAGTATTTCTTTATATTTACCATAAATATCGATTTTCCTNGTAATTATTTTTTTTATTTAGTATTTAAGCCAACACAAAGCTAGCCGACTTTTCATTAGATTTAACGATAAGTTCAGCATGTATGCTAAGATATTAGGGTCATTAATTATAATTTTTATTAAAAAATACACACACAAAATATTCAAAAGAGCCAAAATTATAGCTACTCATAGAAAATTAAAAACACATTAAAATAATAATTTATTTAAATATAACACTTTAAGAAAATTAAAATTCATATTCAGTGCATTCACTTAAGCCGTTGACGTAAAAATTGCACCAATTCAAATTCAGCTGTACTTTCGAATTTGATTAGTGCAATGTTTACACGAGTTTGGTTTATCACAATATAAAGAAAATTTGAAAAAAAAAGTGCATTCTTTGAGAAAAACTGTTTCTTTCAGTATCTAAAATTTACTAATTTTTGAGCCCCCCCCCCAGAAAGAGCGGGCCCTAGGCCCGTGCCTATTGGGCTTAGGCGATAATCAGGCCCTGCTAGTTTTCTAAGCAAAACGCAGAAAACCACACACTTTTATCACATTTTTTAATGACTTTTAAAATCGTTTGACATTTTTGGGACTACTGGTATAAACTCAATAATATAAGAAAGTATTCCTTTATATTTACCATAAATATCGATTTTCCTGTTGCAGTCGACGGAACCTCTATTAACACATTTTCCAGCCTTGGTGTCGAAAAGCAATCCAGGAGGGCACATCATCAACTCGGGCTTCTTTGACTGACAGTTGTAATAGAGATGGCAATAGTGCTCATGAGCATAGAAACCACTCCATTTGGGACATTTATAGTGAATGTGCCCTATGTGTTTTTCCTCACTACTATCTGTGGAAGAAAATAATTACGTTAAAACAGCTATGGATAAGGGCAATTATTATAGATTTATAGCATTTCAAAAACTTGACATCTATTATTTTGTATCGTATGTATTTTAACCGTCGTTGAACAGCTGACTCAATTTTATGGGTTTACAACTACTAAAGTTCAACTCCGTAGCCTTGTAATTTTGAACCCAATCCAGAAGACAAGGGAACTCCTGGATTGAGTATTGGGAGAAATTTGCCTTCGTGGAGGACTTTTTTGATGGAGCTAACCCGCATTTGCGTTACATTGAGAGGAAGACCACGAGAACCTCCCGCGGTCAGCCTGATGGCAAGGGGACTCTAATCCATGATCCGTCTATCACTGAGGATATTTCACGTCAGCACTGCGATTGGTGCAAGTCGGATGCGAATTCGTATCGATTGGGATTCGAACTCGGTTCGCCTCATTGGAAGACGAACGCTCTATTCCCTGAGCCATCGCGGCTCCAAAAAGGAACCACCCAACGTGGGGATTGAACCCACGACCCCGAGATTAAGAATCTCGCGCTCTACCGACTGAGCTCAATTCCTTTTTCTCATATTGCCTCCATTTTATATTAAGTTTTCAATAGCTTAAAATGATGAATGTTTAAAACTTTAAATCGCTCATATGCGATATGGATGAAACGATCCTACTTACATATTTACATGTTTTGAATAAAAATGGAAAAAGTGATTTCAATTTAAACAAGATTGGTATAGTTCAGTTAATATCTCTCATAATATAATTTCCTTTATCATTTGAATTGAAGTAGGTATTAGGTAATTTAGTTATTTTTCTCTGAAAAGCTGTAATGAAAAAAATTTTCAACATCATTTTAATTATGAAATACTACTACTTAGCATTAAAGTTACGAGACGTATTTATTTATTAGATAATTAGAAAAATATACTTATTACAAAAATGTATTTGAAATAACATTATCAACAAAAAAAAAAAAAACTTAAAGTAAATTCTAAGCGTTTTTAAAAAAATTTTATTTCTTTTTTTGTTAATTTGACATTATTATTAATCGTTCATATTTAATACTTGAAGTCTATTACTTTAAGGTAAAATAACTTAACCAGAACCAATACTCGCATCCTCGGTCCCTTCGCAAGCTGATGAAAGGTGTTAGTGTCCTCCTCACTGACCGCTGCCAGTGATGCTTGACTTCAATGATCCTCTGGAAACCGAGTCTTACGATCCACTGTGGGACGCTGGTTTTCCATTTTTTTACAATTATTTTCAAAAAATTCATAATTTTTTTAAAAACGCTTTGCTAAATCTAGTGCCTGCTTCAAAATTCATAATTTTTTTTTTTTTTATAAAATTGTATTAGTTTTGGTCCAAATAATTAAAAATGAAGAGCAAAAAATCGAAAATACAAATAAATATTTCTTCGAGTATCATTATAAATATTTATAATAAAGTGAAATTATTAAAAAAAAATTGTTGAAAATTTGTTTTGAAAAATTTATTAAAAAACCAATTTTTTTTTTTTAAATTTTCAAAATGAATGAAATAGTTTCTTTAAGTAATCGTTAAGTAATAAATGTAATCGTTTCTTTAACTGTTACATAATTCTCCAAAATGCCAAACCTTCGCATTCACATAAAATTTGGTTAAGTATGTGAAATTTAAGAAACCAATTCACGGGTAAGTTTAAACTCATTTATCCAATTTTAACCAGTTCGAATGCAACAAATGTGCCATGAAATTACATTCAACTCGGTTCTGATCTTTTCTGTGTTAAACGTTTTAAATGAACGTGTTTAGTATCCGCACAAAACTCATATATTATTCATACATAACTTTATATGTATTTGGATATTTACTGTTTCTGTATCTGAAATACTAATTTATTTAGATTCCATATAACAAAATGCAATTTTTTTTAATTAAAACTCGACCACGCTTAATTATTTTGATAATGTACAGTGTTCCGATGTCACAAAGATTACAGACACGATAAACATTTGTCATATTTTTTCAAAATCTATGGTGGTTTTTAGTTCTTTCGTTTTAATTTTCAAAAAAATTAAATTTAAATTGAATTTTATGGCAAAGTTTAAAAGCATTAAAATCAAACTTTAAAATTGCTCAAGGATATTCCTTAATCACTTGTATTATGCAGATTCTTAAAATCTTTATAAAAAATAAAATAGCGTACTTTAGGAGGCGAAATTTATATTTAATTTTTAATAAACCAAAACCAAACACTTTATCAAAAACTGACGAAACATTATTAAGGTGAAGCATAGTCAAGAAGGCAGGAAAAAATTCACAACAAATTTAGTTATTAGATGTAATAGAAAAGTAGAAAAATGCAAATTAGCTTAATTTATTTTATAATATGAGCAGGTACTAATTTGGACAGGAACTAATAAGGAATGTTCAACTATGTTTCGATTATAAACACGTGATTTTACTTTGCTGTTTGCTTATGTTCATATTAACATCTAAAAATTTCGATTGCAGAGAACTTTTTCTTTCGTGATCTCTTAACACACTTCCTTTAATTTAAATTCATTGTTGCAACTTCATGATAAAAAAAGCAATCACGCTAATGTATTTTTTTACTATACTACTGACATCAAACGTGTTGGAAATATGAAAACATTTAATACTGTTTTGACTATAAATAAGGTTAAAAAATGAAAAAGATATGTTAGCAATAATACATGGGATACCATTTGAATTCTAGGTGACACTTATGTGTTATATCTGATGGTGAAACGAACATTAAAATTTTGTCCACAATATCTACTTTTATCATGCTTATTCAAAGTGTAGATATTTATCATACCTATATTCTTTTAGTAATTTTATGGCAAACGTATTCATATGTTACAAATAATGCTATACAGCAAAGATAATTTGTTATTCTATACATCGCTTAAATGATATTTTACAACCATTTGTTCATTTTAATAACAAATGGTTCATTAAATTGTTACAATTTCTTATTCTTGCTTTACAAACGGGCTTCCCAAACTTCTTAAATCATTTCACATCAATTAATAACTAAAATAGATATGCATGTCATGTAATGACTTTTAGTTTCAGTTCTGAACATCATACTTCTAACTAAAATACAATAGGTATGTTGCAACGGTGATTAAATATGAAATGTTGCAATGTAATTATTACATACGTTATATTATTTTGGGTAGAGTTTTATCCTACGTTAGGCTACATTTTTAAACGCTACTCTTACATTGTCTGTAACGTTAGAACTTTTGATATTAGAGAGATCCCGCAGTATTATGTTAGATTTCGTACTCACTCGTACGCAAGATTTGAAGCAACTACTCATGCTCGCTTTTATTTTTGATGCTACGTATCTTTACGCTATATTGGCGTATATTTGATTTACAAAATAATATTATTTTAAGAATTAGTGTATGCATGCCCCATAAATTACTGATCCTTACTTTAGATAAATTTCTCCTAAAAATAACTTTACTGATTATGTGTATTATATCTTTCTGCTATTATATATCAAAGAGCTCTTTAAGAACAAACATGGAGGCGATTTCTTTACACCAAGTATACATTATTTGGTGTAAAGTAGCCGCTACCATGATAGAATTTAGATTATTACTCACCTAGAAAAAAACTTTCTGGGTGTGTAAAATACTTGTACTATGATGAACATTCTAGAATAATTTAACATGAAAAACAGGGCTCCTCCACAAAACTTATATAGGTTTTTACAACTTTAAATTCGGATAGACTTAACAGCTTTTAATTTAGAGGTAGTTCTGAGTGAACTTTAGATGTAATAGTTGTGTTTACTTATTAAAGAACATTCTGGAATAATTTAACTTGAAAATCAGCGCTCCTTCGCACAATGTTTAGGTTTTTTTTTACCATCAAATTCAGAAAGATATTGCGTAACAGCTTATAATTTAGATGCATTTCTCATAGAACTTTAGTTACAATAATTGTGTTTAAAACTATCGTAGAACTAAAAATTGTGTACAACTTTTACGTTTTTTTTATTTTCAAATTCGGAGAGATATTACGTATAAGCTTATAATTTAGATGCATTTCTCTCAGAAATTTAGACATAATAGTTGTGTCTGTGACATAATAATAAAAGAAAATTCTAGTACGATTTAACTTGAAAAACAGTTCTCCTTCACACAATTTTTAGGATTTTTTAACGTCAAATTCGAAAACAGCTTATACTTTAGATGCATTTCTCATAGAACTTTAGATATAATAATGTTTAAAACTATCATAGAACTGGAAATTGCATACAACGCTTAGTTTTTTTCAACTTCAATTTCGAAGAGATGTTACGCAGTAGCTTATAATTTAGATGCAGTTCTCATAGAACTTGAGGTTTAATAGTTGCGTTTATGACATAATAATTAAAAAAAATTCTAATACGATTTAACTTGAAAAACAGTGCTCTTTCACACAATTTTTAGGGATTTTTAACGTCAAATTGGAAAACAGATTATACTCTAACTGCATTTCTCATAGAACTTAAGATATAATAATTGTGTTTAAAATTATCATGTAACTAAAACACCATACTTACTTATACTTTTCTTCCTCTTTCCGCAATCAACTGATCTTGATTTCAGGCATTGTAATTTCTTAGAATCGAAATAGTATCCTTTCGAGCAGCTGAAGACATTACTTTCTTTGCCATCAAAGACATAAAAATACTGGCAGTATTTTTCATGTGGCAGGAAAATGGCGTCCTCAGAGATGGTAACTTTTTTGTATTTGTCATCCTTTTTTATGTAAACATCAGCTTGTACTTTATTATAAACTTGAGGCTCTTCTAAAGAATTATTCTCTTCCACATTATTCAAGAGAGATACAGCATCGCCATAAACTGAAAGAGTAAATTTTTAATTTCATATATTTTAATAAATACAGGGAAAAAATCGATTTTCACAGGATCATAGTGGCCATTATTGACTTAATTACTGTTTAGTGTCTTTTTAAAAATACTTCTCATGAAAAAGCATATTATCTTTAATGATCTATGTTTTTCGATTCATAATAAAAATGTTATTGTCATCTTATCGTTTCATGCATTTTCATTGGACAGAAAAATCACATGATATGCTCAATAATAAACAAAAAAGATATAAATATTTTAGGTTGTCATTAGCATGAAATTTAGAACGGTATATACCTCTTAATTATATATTTATACCATACCTAACAATATTTAAATACAATATTTATTCACCATTTCAATTTAATATTACTCTCTGTTAATATTATGTTTTTGATTTAAATTGTTATTATGTTAATTAAAACTGAAAGTGTTGTTCTTTTATTGCAATATTATTTTTACTGTTTTATTAAATTTTTCATTAAAAAAAGTATTCTTTTTTTATTTTAAAATTGTCGTATAATAAATCTTTATTATACTGCATTTGATGCAACAAAACATTCAGTGATTATTTTACACTTATTTAATGGTAAATAATTTATTCATACTTTGTGCTAAATTTACTTTTGTAATAAATTCTATGGAAAACTGTGCTCAGTCAACGCATTTAATTAAAATAATAAATACAAAATAGATGTTTAAAATTCTAAAATATGTTTAAGAATAAACTTTTGCTCTATTAGTTAAGTAATCTCGTTGGTGAGAAATATTTAACGAGTTTTTATAGTTACTTAAATTTAATTATGTACTTTAAGAACAATGAACAAATGAAACTGCGATGGTAAGCGAACAAAAATATTAGGCTTAAATTTTATCATATTACAAATTTCCGAGACCTATTGGTTAAATAATTTTTAATTTTGGTATTACAGTCTGCTTATACTCAAGAAACAAAAGGGATTGAGAAGCAATAACGGGGGTCTGTGAGTGGAGTGAGTCAATGCCTTATTAAACCATGAAAAGTATTTTATTTAAATGAATGCAATAATACATTTACCTGAAAAGTTTTATTGAAAAAAAAACTTTCTTTAAATGTTATATGTTCTTTTGAGAGAATGATTACAAGCGAATGATTCTTGTAAAATGAATATATTATCATCTATGTTTTAAATATTAAATGCATATTTGTTTAGAAAACTGTATATTATATGAAATTTTGTATTGATTTTTCCAAAACGTAACATGACTATAACAATTAAACTCAATAATGACATTTCTTCCTTTTTTTTTGAAAACCATAAACTATTCTTCCAAAACATTTCAAATTTTAGATGTTTTTTTCAATGGTCACAAAATAAAAAGCTTTTTCAAAAATAAATTCAAAAATAAATTTAAATCAGTATCAAATATTCAGTCAATGATCGTATATTGTACTAATAAATTGTTTAAATATTAAATTAATCAATCCTTTGATTATTAAGAATGCATATATTCATTATTCTGATTCCCCATATATTAGATATGCATAACAATCCAATTTCTCTCTATGGAAATTCAATCATATTTTGGCATTTAAAATCATAGATATCGTATAAAAATATAAAGATTTCAAATGCAAGATGTCTGCCTATAAACTTAAATTTCTAGGGAAAAAACGTAGTTTATTTATTATTTTAATAATTATTACTTCAAACTTAATATTTTAACTAACGAATACGTGATAAGCTTATTCATATCTCGAAGATGATTATGAGATAATTTATCTAAAGTTTGAAAATTTCTTTGTGAGGTAAATTAGAAATAAATCTTCCGTTTTTAATAAATTTCTTTAAAATGAATTCGTTGATAAAAAAAGGTAAACAAATGTACATTATTAAAATATCAGTAGAAGTTTTGTGTGATAAAATTCTATTAAATAAAATTTTGTTTGGTAAATTAAAAAGGAATCTTCCTTTTTTAATATGTTCCTTTAAAATGAATTCGTTGATAAACAAAAATTAACTAAACGTACATTATTAAAATATCAGTAGAAGTTTTGTGCTGTAAAATTCGATCGAATAAATTTTGTTTGATAAATAAAAATGAATCTTTCTTTTTTAATAAATTACTTTAAAATGAATTCGTTGATAAACGTACGTTATTAAAATATCAATAGAAATTTTGAGCGATAAAATTCTATTAAATAAAATTATAACAGAATTACAATTTTTCGTTAAATAAAACTTCGTTTGTGGAACTCATACATAAATTTTAAACACAATAAATATTTTACTGTGCATCAATTAAGAAATTTTTCAAGCAATAATTTTGCTTCATAATTTTTTTTTAAAATTTCAAATAGCCCATTTTGATTTTAAGTTTGCGTAAATTAGACTGAATCTCTTTTGTGTTACAGAAAGAGCTCAATCATTTTTTAAACATACTTCACATCGTATTATTATAAGTTTACTATAAATTTTAATTACCACAGCACATTTTACAGTAACGCGATTTTTGATTTTCAAATGCCTACCTGCGATTAACAATATCATCCATAGTGGAACTAAACGTTCCATTGCGTAGGCTGTGGTTTGCAGCCTGTAACAGTTTCTAAGGAAAAGAACGATTAACGATAATTTTGCTCTCTTTGTACTCTGTTCAGATGTTAAAATTCTTACTTAAATTAAAATTACTTAAAAATATGATAGATGCCAACGTCACCTAAGGTCATCACACATGGCGTTTTTCCCACGTTCGAGTCAAAATTGATGTGATGCAATGTTTACGGAACCAATAGTTTTGAAATTTTTAACCGTTGATAAAATTGCCGTTATATGGTAACACCTGTAGTTTCCCCTGATCGGGTTATCCCTTTGATCACTTAAAACGTATTAGTTGAGTTGTTATCTTCGAAAATAAAATCGATTGCTTGCGTAAAATAAGATTAAATTGTTATTAGAATGGATATTTTTTTATTATAAAATTATTAGAATTTGGATTAAATTATTGATCTTAGCTACTGTATAAAAGTAATCAATGCCTGTGCTTACTTTATATTGCTCAGGATTAACCTAACGTGATTTAAATTTTTGTTTACTATAATGTATAGTTTATGTCGAAAGTTGCATACGTTATTGAAACAGAAGTAGGAATTGTTTTATCATGGAATTAAGGGAAAGAATTTTACACTGAGAAAAAAGTATGGTCAAAACTACTAAAATATGATTAAATTCGACGTGTTTCTTGCCCTATAGGAACATCAAAAAGCTCGGTAATTTTTACCAAAGCTCTATAGTATTCATTTTGGTTAAATTAACCATAGTGTTAAATATGTAATAAAATTTAGTGAATGTTTCAAAATTTAGTAATCTTATCATGATTTCTTAGAGCATGACATAAAAGTCATTTATTTAGTAAAATTTAGTTTTCAGTTTTGTATTTTTAAGTAAATGTGTGGTAAAAAGAACTATACTTTTGAAAACCAGAATTTGTGGTAAACCGTTACCAATTGAACAAAAGAATTAAAAAATATGTGGTTTAAATACCGCATATTAGGGTTTTTGTAAACCAAAAGTATATTTTTTTTACCCGAAATGTTATTTGCATATAGTATGGTAAATTTACCAGAACTCTTATCCTCGTGTGTCCTGTTCTTCTCTTTCATATTTTGTTAACATCAATTAAAGACGCTTTTATCTCGACTCACTTGCCTTTGAAAAAAAAGTTTTCTTTTACAGAAAGATTTTTTCCGATATAACATAATAAGTTAATCGCATAAAACCGTGGACAATTTTATGGACCAAAAAATACTCTTAATAAACAAAGAAGCTTTAAATTTCTTTGCCATCAACATAAAATTAAAAGTTCTAAAAATAATTTTTGCATGTAAAACATTTTATTTTTTGTTTAAAGGCATTAACCTTCTGTATTTATTTAGAAATCATTACGAAAATTTAAAGGTTTAAAACTGAAAGAGATGTGTTTTTAAATATAAAATAAATTTTATGATATTTAACTTGACAAGGATTTTTTTGTTTGACATATTGAGTATTTTTAAATATTATTTTAGAATTTTGGGGAAACAACTTTGAATACAATTTAGCTACATTAACCAGATGTGAAAATAAAAATTAAAAGTGAAGAAAAAAAATGAAAATGAAAAAATAAATAAAACAACTCTTATTAATTTACACACATAATTTTTTATAGAACCACAGTGTGACGCGCGGTGGCTGAGTGATAGCACTTCGCGCTCTTGTGCCACAGGTCCTGAGTTCGATCCTCCGGCCGGGAAAGGTTGACTCAGCCTTTCATCCCTTCAGTGGGTCGATAAATGAGTACCAAGCATGCTTGGGAACTAAACGCTGGGGGTTTCGCGTTTGGTTGATCACCTAACCGGAACATCTGCTCCTGCACCCCAGAACCCAATGTCAAGAAAACTGAAATGGGCACAGTAGGCCTTGCTCTCTATGAACTGTGAGCCAATGAGTTTAGTTTTTTGGAACCACAGAGTTAATTAAATTTGTAATTTTTTAAAGAATTTTTTATTGTATTTGAAATCAGCAAAATAAGAAAAGAAGGAGAAGGTTGTGAAAGAGTTGTAATATTTGATAAACAAAATATAAAAATTATTGCAAAATAAATGTTATGTAATTAAAAGTCTTAAAAATGGATAGGTACGCCAAAGAGTCCACAAAAACATAAAACTTCCAGATAAGTATTTTTTTCAAATGTTTTACAATTGTGTTAAATGTTTTACAATTGTGTTAAATGTTTTCCAATTATATTTAGAAAAATCGGTTTAAAAACATTATGTTTAAAATTGTCTTTGAAACCTCCTTAAACCCTATAAGTTTCTATATTTTCTGATCTAAAAATGCACTGGACGCATTACGCCTAATGTCACAAACATAGTGTTATAAAAATGCGTTTATTAATAAATAAGCCTATTTTTTCTAAATGTTTTTGCTGAAAGATAGTTAAACAGAATAGATAATGCAAGATTGAAAAATAAGGCTTATATAGAATTGAGACATTTTTATGGAAGTTTTCCGTTATTAGGAGAAAAAAAGCACTGTAGAGTACTGTAAGTAAAATAATGAATTTTTAGATTTATATTTGTGAGAAAAAAGTAGAACTTGGGATTAACTACCTAAAGCCATTAAGAGAAGCATTCGTTTTATTTTTGAAAAAGTACCATATTTAAATATTTTCAGTAAATAAATTGCTTAAATTATTTTTATATTTACAATTGAGTGGATTATACTTATTTCAATTTAAAAAAGGTTATTTTTTCTTGATAGAAAGATAAGGAACCATTGTGGATCATAAGTTTTCTTTTCTTGTGTACTGATTTATTAAGGAATTATATTATATTATATTTGTTTCTAAAATAAATGTCCACGAAATTTTTTAGAATACGCATTAATTAAGACAAAATGACAAAGCAATAATTAAATAATCAACGAAAGGAGAAACTTCTCGCAATCCACCTTACAACTGAGTGTGTCATCAAAATTCATTAAAAATGCTATCTTTAAAAAAATTTAAATGTAATAAATATTTTTTCATTAAAAGTATAATTTTTTACTTAACAATTTTAAGGGTTTTGCTCTGTAAATGAATTAAGTGTTCTAAAATGACTGAGATACATTTAGAAATATTTTGATTGATTTTAAAATTTTGGTTATAAATCATAACATTAAAAAACTGTTGAAAAGCTTAATTAAACTGCTAAAAGTAAAATTTAATCTCATATTTTCTCAGCTTATTACAATCAAAGAGAATGTTATCAGGCTAAATAAAAGTGAAAAATTATTCAATGCGCTTAATTTTACTTTGGCTTCTTGTAAACAGTCTTCTACTCTAACGATGCTTTGAATAGAGAACCGTATCTGGTCTTAAATTTTACTAATTCCCTTTGTTTGAATCCTTTGAATAAAAAAAAATGATGGTTGTGAATCCATAGATAGATATTAATGTTTATAAATTTTAGATATAATCGGCTTCCAAAAAATTTTGTATCTAGCAAGCAGAATTTTTCGTAAGGTGTGAAAAAGGAAAAAGAAAATAATAAAGGCAGTACTGAACTATACGACAAAATTATGCACTTAATTAATTTCAATTTCTTTATTTATTATTTTTGTGACCCTTCCCTTTATATTCGATGACCACTCATGAGAAGCATAATTTACCACAATCAAGCAATTTTCTCTGGTATTGATCCCTTTCGAGGGGCTGTATAAACTTATTTCTACAATATCTATATTAAAACTGCCGAGTATTGGTACAATTTAAGTGGGTACCAAATGTACTAATGTAATATTTTGTATATTTAGTTTTGTATATTTTCTATATTAGTATATTTGGTATCTATTAAAACTGAAAACATTACCTTTATGCCAGTAGTGCCTATTACCAAAACTAATTAAGCATCTTTTGCGTCAATAATACGAGTAGTATGGCAAGTTCTTATTGTTCTCTTAACAAAGTACTTTTTTTTCTCCATTAATTTTGATTTTTAGAAGATAAATTAATTTTTTATTTCATTAAGTACCTATTTCCAAAATTAAAAAAAAAAAAAACATCATTTGAGTCAATTATAGTATAGCGATTTCTTTTACAAATTGGCTTTAGCGAATAAGTAGTTTAAAGCAAAAAAATAATGCGAATAACGCACAAATAAAGTACGGAAATGAAAATATTATAATTTAGATTCTCTGAGCAAGAACTTTCCCCCAAATGACAGTGGAAAAGTTAAGAGATAAACATTTGCAAAGTGGTTTATTCAAATGAGACAGAGAAGCATGTTTAAACAAGATGAAATGAAGGGTGATAAGTATTTTATTTTGCTCAAACCTGTTCCTTTGTCCGCAATTGGTTAAACCTTTCTTTTCTACTGATATTAGGTGATTATACATTGTTTTTATTTAGAGTATTTTCATTTCTGTACTTCATTTGTGCGTTATTCGCATTTTTTTTGTTGCTTTAGTCTTCATCGTACGAGGAATACCCTATCCTCTTTCTGAATTAGTACCTTTTAACTTCTAATCTTTATTTTCCTTACACAACTTATTATTTATTTTTTACTTTCAGTTACCGTTAATTTTGAATTTAGTTTTATAGAAGAACGTTTTAAAAACATAATTATAAGCAATATAAACTTTAAATACTAATTTGGTGGCGTAATCCATCTATGCTACCACGATAACGTTGGCTCTTGAGTTTATCTGACATAACGAATAAAAAATAAAATATTAAAGAACTTTCAATAAACTCTTTTTTATTTGATTAAGCATTGTTATAAGCTAGCAAACATCACTGATGTTATTTTTAGATATTCGGAAACAAAATTGAGTTGAACAGAATTGTCCGCAGTTTTATTTATATCAATGACACTTGCTAAAGCCAATGAGAAAATTCTACTTTTCAAACGTCTCTTAAGAACGAACTAATTGAAAATTTTGAACTATTTTAATCATCAGGAGCTAAAATTACCCGTTTTACCAATCATCCAAATTTCAGGCCCTTTGCGCAAATGGCTCTTAAGTTAAAGGAAAGACATACAAACAAACACATTCTAATTCTTCATTTTATTATTATAGATATTCTCTTAATACAAACTGGTAAATTATTCTATAAGATTCATTTTGAACAAAGAAGGTAGAAGTGAATCGAATAATAATAAGATT